GCTGCTCCAAAGGTACAGGACGGAATGAAGCGTCAAAGTAGAACAGACCGGCCATCTTGTTGACTCGGAGAAAGTCGGCTACGTCGACATAGTTGGGCAAGGTCGCTGAGAGACCGACAATCCGGATGAGTGATTGTGTACTCTCCACTTGTCGCTGAGTACGCGCTACCAAGCTTTCCAATACAGCGCCGCGCTCGTCGTGAAGCATGTGAACCTCATCGATAATGAGCAGACGTACTTTCTGTACCAGCTCAGTGTCTCCAGTGCTTTTTCGCGTTACCACGTCCCACTTTTCTGGCGTAGTAACTATAATCTGGGTGTCCAAAATTTCGGCTTTGGTAAGGTGCATATCACCAGTCAGTTCGCGAGCCTTGATACCCAACCACGCTAGGCGCTTTCCAAGCTTGTCTGTGACTTCAGCAGCGAGCGCTTTCATGGGCGCGACATAGATGATCTTGAAGTCTTCCATCATGACTGTAAAGTCCGTCGCCTCAGGCTCGTCGATGGGGTTCGGCACAACATTCTTGGCTACGGTATTAAGAATGGTGAGCATGGCGGCATCTGTTTTACCAGCACCGGTAGGTGCGCAGATCAGCATGTTCTCACTGGTTTTGTAAGCGACTGGGTAGACCAGACTCTGCATGCGATTGAGGGATTTGTAGCCTTTGAAGGTACGCTGACAGAGGCCGTCCAATTCCTGGATCTCGAGAAGCCTTCGGCCGACGCCGACAGTACCTACCGGGACTGCGGGGATTTCATATTCTTCATACAGGTTGTTGTCGCGATGCTCAGTATCCGGAGGTAGCGCGTACTTCTTGCCATAAGCCGAGAGCTTGTTGCCGGCTTCGTGAGTCCGATAAACGTGGGGATACTGGGGCCCTGTTCGGTCCATAGAAGGTGCCAACGCGGCGGTCTTGTGCTCCCAATCCGCCCGGCGCAACGCTTCTTCGCGTTCGGCTCGGGTCTGTAAACGGCCCATGGCACCATTGCTTTGAGCGGGAGTAGGGTTATGCAAGGATCGCATGATGTCCTTGCGATGGAATATGAGCTCGGCCACAAGGTCCAACTCCCCGTAGCCAACAATGTCTGCGAGCATCATCTGTAGTTCTTCGTCTATTCATAGTCAGTATGCTGCAGATATCGAGTATTGGCATAAAGCCTCACCATTGCTGTCACTTGACAGGATCGCGGTGATCTGCTCCTTCAACGCTCCAGAATCTAGACCGGAACCATTTTGGGCTACTGAAGAGCATTTTTCGGCGAGCCATTGCTGGCTGTAAGCCTCGCCACCAACTTGGCCATCGGGAAATTGGTCGAGGTGATCACTGCTGAACTCTTCTTCATACTCGTCGCTGATGATGTCCCAGATATCTTCGCCGCTGACAGTTCCAGAGAAGTCATCATCATCGAAATCGAGGTCGTCTCCGTAGGCTGGCGCCTTCTCCGTATCGGCAGGGAGATTGAGTTCGGCGATGGCTTTGCGCATGGCGTCGAGCTGCTCGAGCCATTGCGCCTGGGCATCCTCGACAGCGGGCGACATTATTACGGCTTGTCTGAACGTTGGCGGTCGATGTGATTCAGGTGCGCTCGTTGGAGCGCTCTTCACGATGGAAAGCGTGATTGCCTCTGCGTCAGGCTTGGCAGAATCGATGATGGGTGAGTGTCCTGGATTCGGCTGGACCTGCCCCGCCCCCGCGCATTAGCGGCATGACATAATCAGGAGCGCGCTCGCTGGCGGTACCGACGCATGATGCGCTACCACGGGCCTGTCGCAGGCACCTCTTTCGAGACCGGATAGTCGCAAGACCCATACCTACTGCCTTCACTTTGGTCTCTCACTCTACACTTACAACTACCTACACCCTTTATATCAAATCGCCAACATGAAGGTCGTCTATATCGGCGTAAGTACTCTCTCACCGCCTTCATGACGCCGCCACAGGTCGCTGACACGCATCGCATGCAGGTTTGGAAGAATGAGACGAAACCCACGGTGGAGCTGACGTGCGAGCGCGAGCTCAGCTCTTACGGCCGATTCACACGAGGAAGCATCAGCGAGTTCGTACGTGACGACAACGTTCCAGGCCAAGCAGATCGCCTGGGACGATAACAGGGTGGGAAAGACAGTCGAGCTGATAGGGTACCTAGATGTCGTTCTTCGCGGGACAGGTTGCCGAACGGACAAAGCCTGGGCAAAGACAAGATGTGGAGGAGAAAGGTATGCCATCTGATATGTGCAACCTCTGCTCGCCTAACAGCACGCGCAGACTACATCTTCCACGCATACGGACGCTCCGAAGGCGTTTGCGGCATCATCATCACCGATTTCGAATACCCTAAGCTCGTCGCACATCAGCTACTCTCCAAAGTCCTCGACGAATTCGTATCCAAATACCCCAAGTCCGCATACTCGTCCGCCACGAAGGACAGCCCGAACATGTCGTTCCCTGAGCTGAAGGATTACATTCAAAAGTACCAGGACCCACAGCAGGCGGACAGCATCATGAAGATTCAGAAGGAGCTAGACGAGACCAAGATTGTCCTGCACAAGACCATCGAGAGTGTTCTAGAGCGAGGCGAGAAGATTGACAACCTGGTGCAGAAGAGTGACGGATTGAGCGCACAGAGTAAGATGTTCTATACACAGGTATGTTAGAGCTATATGCGGAACAATCCTGCCATTTACTAATTCATATACCAGGCCAAGAAGCAAAACTCGTGCTGCATCGTCATGTAAATTAACGGGTTCGCTTTGCTGGCTGATTCATCTCTCTTCGGGCGTTTATACCTGGTTTCCGTACTTGATACATACAATCCCGCATACTCTTTACAAGTCATGTGGAGAACAAATTTTGCACATCCCAATATCACTCTCTGCTGTTGAAACTCAGCCTTGATCTTCAGACACCTAGTCAAGCCGGCAATCTGGACTTCCAAAGGCTTCCTCCGATGTTGCGTGACTGGATTTATGTTCTTAGCCCGCAATCTCAACATCCACGTCGGTCTCTTCGTGTTCTAAATCCATAGGATCAGAAAGTTCGGACTCGTCGTCAGAATCCGAGTCAGACTCAGACGCGAGAGAGTCTTGGTCGAAAAAGTCTTCAACGTCTTCTCCTTCAAGTGGTTGGGCATCAGCGCTCGACTGGCCCTGCTCTGTTTCCAAATCTTCCTCTCTGATATCACCAATCAGTCGCGCATGGGTCTCCAGGCTGGTTCCTACAAGTGTTTCGACCCTGTCCCAGTTGTTGAAGTCGTTGTCGCATGCATCATCGAAGGATGAGTCATTCCAGACAACGAAGATGTCGGTTGTGTTAAGCAAGGAATCGATCCAGGGCTGCTTCCAGTCATCCTCCATCTTGCCGAGCCATTCTTCGATACCCTTGATGAGGTTGTCCTTTGACACGTCATCGGTGACTTCGCGATAGACAACAGTCGGTTGGGAAGGATCTTGTTGGGAAGGGTCTTTATCGCAAAGCAGTGTGCGACACTGTCGTACATTGTACTCCCAGCTGCTCATGAACGAGGTTTCGGCCCATCCTTCATCGTCAGGACAACGATACTGGGAATTTGCATCATAGGCTATGCACTTTCTGGCAAAGAAGGCACTTGAGCGATGACGGGTATCCTCTGGTGTGTCTGGGGAATACGAAAGGCGCTTCTTCTTGCTCTTAGATGCTGGAGTTCGTAAAGCACTGTCATCGGCGTTTGCTAAGCGTGCAGGAAATTGAACACCCTTCGCGTATACATCCACTGCTGTTCTAGCGCTGTAGGGATGCACGACCTCAACGTCCGCAGCAGGATGCGCAGCCTCCCAGGCAGCTTCCAAACGCGCGATGTCCTCCAAGCTATCAACATCGTTGATCAAGTCGGTCTTTCGCTTATAGTACGCTCGCTTGCTACTGTGGAAGCCCTCCACTGTCGAGCCGGGACGCAAGAGGCGCCATGGGCCACCAGAGTCCAGCCACTTGTCCCAGAGCTCGCCAAGCAGTTTGAGATGAATCTGCAATGCGCACATTGAACACCATGCGATATCCTCATGCTCCTCGCCTTCTTCCTCGTCCCCATTCTCCTGTTGCCGTTGAGCATCTGGACGTGGATCTCCGGGGTGTAGCGGGTGTCCACATCGCTCCGCCAGTGCGTATCCCGCGAATCTTGGATCTGGCGACTTTTTCTCCGCTTCTGGAGTCCCATCGAGCTTTTCGCATTGTCTGGCGCGCCACTCTACGAAATCCATGTACTCAAATGCGGTGGGCAGGAGGATGTCGTCATCGTCTTCGATGGCGATATCAAAGGCGGACTGGCGCCAGCGTTTGTAGAGTTCGATCTCGTACGGCAATAAGAGCGCGGAGGCTTTGGGTTCGACCTTTTGTAGCGATGTCGCCATGAGCCTGTGGGGTCGCGCGACTGAGGTAGATGTGCGCTTGATGGCCGAAAAGTGACGAAGTTGAAAAGCGAATCCTGGTATTCGAGCTTCCGAGCAGTGCAGTTGCGACGATGTCTTTTCCGGCGCTTGGTAGTGTTGTTGTTATATTCCAAAAGCTTGGGGACAGGTGTGCTAAGGTCAGGTGCAAGGTCCATGGGTTCTTGATCCGCTTCTACTGTGGGACTTTTCTTCGATTGAAGTCACATTCACTTCGACTTTCGTCACTGCTCTTACAACTACGTCTATTCCAATACATAACTCCACTACCCGCAGGTATGAAGATTCTGCGAGAACTATTAAAGGACTGTACAATTGAAGGATGGATATAACGTTCTCATGGAATTCTCTTCACGTCGACTAAACAACCACAGGAAACCGCTATGAATGACGAAGCAAAGCATTACCACTGCATCTCGTACGACCTGTATGCCTGCAAGTAGGCGATGCACTTAACATGCAAATAGGGCATGATGAGACAACAGGGCGAAGAAAGATGTGCGATAAAGATTGCGCGCGAAGCAACGGTCAAAGAGTTCCAGGGCTGAGCGGTGCACAAAAGCCAACTGTGTTTGAGCCGCTACACGAGCACAATCCTCTTCATTTGATTGAAATCCTCCAAAAACTCTTTTGTATCAGGATGATCGACACCACAACGCTTCTCAGTGCCGACATGAGCGTGCGCGTACAACGGCAGAGCATCCTTGTATCGCTTTTGTTTCTTGAAGACGTCTGCAAGTGTATGAACGGCAACAAGCGTCTCGACATCATCTGCCCCTAGGAGCTTCTCGCTCTCTGTGACCAGGCGACGGGAGACTGTTTCTGCTTCTTCAAGTTGACCCTGTCGAAGGAGCGTCTCAGCGAGGCTGTTCATGCTCTGCAACGCTTCTTGTCGTGCCTTTTCATCGAGGTCGGTATAGATTCCAACAACACCACACCATTGCGCTACAGCTTCATCAAGCTTGCCTTGCTTGACGAGCGCTTCGCACAAAAAGTTGACACTCGTGATCGTTTCGTAGTGTTCGGGGCCCAGCTTGTCCGATCGAAACCGCACAACTTGACGATGTATCTTCTCAGCCTCAGCTGTTTTGCCTTGCATGCTGAGTAGAACACCTAAGGCGCGCAGACCATGACAGGTATCGTTGGTTCCTTTGCCGTATTCTTCTTCTTGTATGCCGTGAACTCTTCGATGAAGCGCCGTTGCCTGTTCGTAACGCCCGTTGTTGATGTACACGAGCGCAAGCCTGGCCATGAGTGACTGAGTTTCTGTGCTGGTGGGTCCGTAAACCCGCTCGTATCCCTCAATGGTGCGCATGTGAAAGGCCTCTCCTTCCTCATACTTCTTCTGCATGTTCAATCGAGACCCCAAATTGTTCGCACTGTCTAGGGTATCTAGATGGTCGGGACCCAGGGAAGCTAGTCTTCCGCTATACGCTTTTCGAAACATCTCCTCTGCTTCGTTGTGTCGCTTGAAAATGCTGAGCACAAGGCCCAGCTGATGGAAACCGCGAAGGACGTCTTCTCCATGCGGTCCTTGGACTTCTTCGAGTGCCGCTAGTGCCTTACGACCCAAATCTTCCGCTGCCGTGTAGTCTCCCATAATGTAAGCAAATCGTGACACCATCTGGATGAGCGGTCCCCACATCAGAAGCTCTGTCTTGCTGTCTGGGCGATATCTGGCGGCTTGCTGAGCATGTGGGAAAAGATACTGGCAGATCTTCCAATTTTCATGTTCAGGATTTGGGAAGCGGTCTCTGATGATGGTGATATATCTCTGTGTCCAGGCTCGCAGCTGTCTGTTGAGGTCCAGCCACCTTCTGGTAGTGTATTGCACTAGCCGATGCATGTTAAAATGGCATCCATCCAAGTTCGTTTTGATGAGTGCAAAATTCGTAAGGACTTTCCAGTCCTCGTCAAAGGAAGAGGCATTGAATGTTATAGTGCCCGTTGCCTTTTTCTCAGCCGCACGCCTGCGCCGTATGAGATGCGACCGCCGTCGTCTGATTCGCTTCCACCAACTGAGGTGGGGCTGAAGTGGGGTGGCTGCGGCTATGACTTCCTCGCCGTATTGACCGGTGAGAAGCGTCTCCGGAATGCCCTGTCGATCGAACAAACACATCAGCGAAAGAAGCCTTGCAGCTGAAGGGTGTGTCCGGCTAACATACTGGAATGACAGGTGCCAAGTTTTGACGATCGAATTTGTCCTCCGTGCGTTGCGACTCGTTTCGTGAGCACTTGTCTCCAATAATTGCGCCGTCTCCTCACTTGGTTCGCGGATCTTCTCGGTCGCTTTCGACACCGTAAGCCTTGGATAGTTCATGCTGATGTTTGTCGCGATTTGAGATATGGCTAATGGCATAAAGTCGACCGTCTTAACCAGTTCGGCAGCTTCGGCCTCAGTATGGATGACCTTGCTACTGAGCTTTCTCTTGAGTAGTGTGATTGCCTCATTCTCGTTCATCTCTTCTACGTCAATGTGGTAGGCACAATTCCCGGTAACCATTTGTGCTGCCTCGGCATTCCTCGACGTAACGAGAACGGATCCTCTAGCCGAAGTGACTATAAAATCGCGGATTTCCGGCATGACTGAAACGTCGTCCATACTCATACTGGATGCGGCTTTCGGTGTGGTTGCAGTAAGAAGGTCAACGGAGTCAACGTTGTCCAATATCATCGTCCACGGTCCATTGGACTCATCTCGGAGCCAATCTCGGACCATGCCAAAGATGTCTGCCGCCTTTTCGTCCCAACCTGGAAGACCGACCGCCTTCGCTATTTTGCGAAAATCTTGAGCGACAGCATTTGGCGTATCGAACGTTACCCAAAATACCCAAGTATCTGGCGAGGCTTGTCGTATGCGATAACTGTACTCAATAGCTATCCGAGACTTACTGTAACAAGGGTAAGTAAGCGAGCAGTGTTAGAGTCCCATTTCGCGGGCTGATCATCAGCCGCGACAATCGGAGCACGTACCCAGCGCCGCCAATGCCTATCAAAGCCAACCTTGAGCCAGGTTGACACCGTATCATGACATCGCTGATCACATCACGCTCTACGAAGTCTGCTTCTCGTTCGAATGGGCATGTACTCATTGGTTTCGGTGGCAGTTTCTTATCTACGACGCAGACATTAGCCAAGTTTTCGCGATGAAGCTCGAAAGTATTACAGACATACTCTCCAGATGTTGTGTCGCACTCGAAAGCCCATAATGCATTGCCTCCATGTATCTTCGTATGACTTTGTCCAGTTCCTTCACGTCGCCGTCGTATCTCACACTCGCGACGGATTTCCATCCTCGCGTAGTCCCTCTATCACCCGGTTTGAACAAGACCTTATCGATGATCATCTCCAAGTTTCTGATCTGATTGAAGCATTCTTCTATTGCTGGCTTCATTGCCCTCCTCGCGTCATCTGTCATGTCTTCGATCTTTGAGTTGGTAGTTCTCAGTGCAAGAACGAATATCGGTAGCCGTGTGCTGACATGTTTGAAAGCGTCCGGAAGACTGTCCCCTTTCTTGCGATATTCGTTGAGACGCTCAATCACCCTAACGCTGATGTCGACAACCTGGATTATGCTGGCAGCGACTCCAACAGCTGCGAGTTCCGCCATGGCGTTGCGGGTAAGACGGGAAGACTAACTGAAGACAAAGATTCTAAGCAAGGAGCACCCAACGACGAGAAATTCATCGCGGGGTCTGCGAACAGGCAGGACTCGATTTATGCAGGCGTGCGGCGCAGCAAGGCTGTGACGACTTGTGATGCATTGACATGGGTTACTGCAAAAGTCATTCGCCGAAGGCGCGTACAGCAGAAGCGCCACGAAACGTGTGCGATGCGAGGCAAGAGCCGAATTCGAAGTGAGCATGCCGGAATCTGAGACTGAATTGATCTTTGCATTCGAGAGTCAGAATGTTGTGATAGTCGTGCTACAGTGCTCATGGGGCAGGATTGATCCCTTGGAGAAGTGCGAAGCGTGTTGGGCTGGAAGGCGCCTGCCCAGGTGCCAGGCGCGGCCCCGGGGGCGCGCGCGTCCAGCCCTGGAGGGGTCCAGGTACAGCGCTAACCCAAAACACGATGGATGCGAGGTGGGGCAACATCTCACCAGTTGACGCGTACAACCTTGCCCCATCACCAACGACGTTCGCAGCACTACCAAACTACTGCCACGGTCGAAGAAGTCAACCAGTTGAAACGACGTGAGAGAGAACATCCTAAAGGATCTGTATCGGAATAGCAAGCTGAGTAATACCTAGGTAGAGCTACTATCCTACCGTCTATTGCTGCAACGGCAGCTGACCAACGCCGAACCTGGGTACTGACTCTATACCTCATTAAGTAAATAAGCAAATTGGATATCTCGACATTGAAACATTCAGACCGATTACAACCCCCTCGATTTACCAACACCTTCGTACCGGAAACCCAGAGCTTCGAGAGGCACAGGATCGACGACGTTACGTCCATCAAAGACGTACATTGGACGGCGCATGACCTGCGAAACGCGCTTCCATGATATCTCTTTGCGCATTGTATCCACATCACCGTTGTGTACTGAGTCGCCGCGAACGTGCCCGCTTCTCGTAGGCTGCTTGTTGCTGAACTCGTCCCACTCCGTCAATATGACCACGGCGTCGGCGTCGGTACACGCGTCGTAAGTCGAGGAGCAGACTGTGAGTCTGCCTTTGATGCTCTGTGGACTCGGGTTACTGCTCTCGATATCGTGCAGTATTTGCGATTCCTTGACTTGTGGGTCGTAGATCCTGACGTTGGCACCTTCAGCGAGTAGGTTGTTGACGACTGTGATAGCTGCTGACTCGCGAGTGTCTCCTGTGTCCTTCTTGTATGCAAAGCCAAGGATAGCAAGCGTCTTGTTCGAAAGCGAATTGTACAAGCATCGCACTATGCGGCGGGTAAATCGGTCCTTCTGGTACTCGTTTATGTCGACTACTGATCGCCAGTAAGCGGCGACCTCAAACAGGTTCAGGGACTCTGCGATGTATGCAAGGGACAAGATGTCTTTGCGGAAGCAGGAGCCACCAAAGCCGACCGACGCCTTGAGCATTCGAGACCCAATGCGCTTGTCCAATCCAACGGCATAGGACACCTCATCGATGTCGGCGCCTACTGCCTCACACATGGCACCCAGTGCATTGACACTGCTGATCCGCTGAGCGAGCAGTGCATTTGCAGCTAGCTTGGCCAGTTCGGAGCTAAACAAGTTGATCGTGATGATGCGATCTGGGCTGACCCAAGCTGAGTAGATCTGAGAAAGAGCTCGTGCAGCCGCCAACCCATGGGGAGTCTTGAGAGAGCCGATGAGAACGCGATCAGGGTTCGAGAGATTTTGGATAGCGGTTCCTTCGGCCAAGAACTCAGGGTTTGATAGGATCTCAAACTCGACGCCAGGTCTACTCGTTGCTCTCAGAACATCTCGCAGCGTATCTGCCGCCCGGCATGGCACAGTACTCTTCTCCACGATGATCTTGTTGTCTGTAGCAACAGCACCAATCTTCCGCACAGCAGACTCCAAATAGGAGAGTTCACTTGCATGTCCGGCACCCTGACCCAATGTCTTGGTGGGGGTATTGACGCTCAAGAGGATGAGTTCGGCTTCGGCAATGCCGCGGTCAACATCTGTTGAGAAAAAGAGGTTTGGCGTTCGCTTGTTGGGGATGCCGTCGCGGGCTGGCTTAACCACATCCATAAGGCCGGGTTCGTAGATGGGGAGTTCTTCAGATTGCCATGCAGCAATGCGCTTGCTGTCATAATCGACCACCGTCACCTGGATGTCGGGATTGGCGTTCGCCATGACTGCCGAAGTCGGTCCTCCCACATATCCTGCACCGATACAACATATCTTGGTTATGCGTCCGAACAATTTGGACTCGTGGGTGGAGCGGTATGAGGGCGCTGGGGTCGGCGCATCTTGCCGTGTGTGACTAGACATGACGAGTGTGTGAAGGTTTGCAAAAACGAGTGTACAATAGAATGCCGGGTAATCGAGCGGGACAAGGACAAGGAACTCTCTGTGGAAGTGAGCCGGATACCTATAGGTACACAAGAGTATCGAGATGTTGGATGAAGTATTCACCAGCCATAGCTACGGACCGAGCGGCCGAAGATCCTCATGGTCGCCTGGACGGCTATCGGCATCTTCTATTATCGTTTACACGATCTCATTTTGGCAACTACTGGTGCCGAGGATGGGCCTGAACGTATCGGACGGTTAGGAAACGCTTGGTTGGGTGACATGATGGTGATGAGCGCTAGCGTGACGGAAGTACCGGGGGCGCCACAAGGATCAACTGATGGGGTGCCTGCCAAGTCAACCGGGGCCTTTTTAGTAACGTCGCATGTAATCTTTGTGATGTAATCCTTAGCACGAGTACTCCACCACTCGGCGAGGCTTGACATCGATTTCGCATTTTGGCCACTATGGCTATGCGCGTAGCTTTTCAGTTAGTTCCGTCGCAGGACTCCAAGCTCCGCCGCGAGTTACGCAGTTTTTCGCTCCGCCCCAGAGAACGCGCAGAGGAGCCAAGTGCCACAGGACACTAACTCATATGGACTGTTCCTATTCTGCTAATATCGGAACCCGGCAACGCATGATCACAGCGGATGAAGCCACTGTGCCTAGACTATGGCTTAGTTGGACTTCATGGCGCAGTCAATGGTCAGCACAGTTTCAGCGGGCCAGCGCACACGTGCAGCCACTACACCTTATTCGCCCTTGCTTGAGATGCAGTGTTAACTCCGGTCCCCGACCGCCACACCTTACCCGGATCTATCGTGTGACACGGCACACACCGTTCTCAGCGGGTCCTGGGCAAACAGGCATGCGAAGGAGCTAAGGTGTCGGCCAACCGCAGCATTATCCGGTCGTGGTTGAGGATTAGACGCGAAGAGACTTTGTTGACCCTAGCCACAGTGACGCTATAATCTCTTTCAACTAATACTTGTCGGATCAGATACCGGTTCAGCCACCTGAATTTGAACACCCCTTAGACTGTCAAAACGCCTCCTTGCGAGGTAGCACGCGACTCCTTCCTCACGTCGACCGAAAAAGACGACAACATCATGGAGAAATTCGAAATGGCTCAGGCCGAGCCTGTACCCAACCAAGTGGCCGAAACCGATGAGCAATATCCTGTTGAACTGGATATCAAGGAGAATGAACCGCTACTAGATCTCGAAAGCCAACAAGATGGAAAGCATGTGCTTTCTCAGCGTCCTACAGAGCCAGCTGCCAGTAGGACGAAGACGTTCATATACCTGGCGACTTATTTTATAATGAACTTGAGTCTCACATTTTACAACAAAGCTGTTATGGGTTCGGTATGTAGCAGGAGCAGATGCGAGGAGTCGATTTAGCTAACGAGATACCCAGTTTCCGTTCCCGTGGATTCTCACAGCGGTACATACCGGAAGTGCTGCTCTTGGAAGTTCAGTCTTCTTGATGTTCGGGCATTTCCAGCTAACGAGGCTGACGCCGCGCGAGCATCTGGTCCATTTCATGTTCTCGCTCTTGTTCACGCTGAACATTGCAATGTCAAATCTGTCGTTGTAAGTTTCCATCACCTTACATACATCTTCGTACGCTAATAACTTCGCAAAGAGCCATGGTCTCTGTTCCCTTCCACCAAATCATGCGAGCGACATGCCCGCTCTTTACCATTCTGATATACCGTGTTATTTTCTCTCGAAGATATGCACTGATCACGTATCTGTCCATCGTCCCGGTAATGCTAGGCGTCGGACTGGCTACCTTTGGTGACTACTACTTCACCGCCATTGGATTCACACTGACACTCATCGGTGTGGTCCTCGCTGCCATAAAGGTAAGTAATACCCGAAGGATTATGCACGTTCTCGCGAAGGATGCTAACAGCTCGAAATAGACCGTTGTTACCAACCGTTTGATGACGGGGCGCCTGCGACTACCCGCTCTGGAGCTGCTCCTCCGCATGGGGCCCCTGGCCGCAGTGCAATCTCTGCTGTACTCGGTGCTCATTGGCGAATTTTCAGAATTTCTTGCTTTTGTGAACGCCGGACACTTTACAAGGGACAGGATTCTGACAGTCTCGGGCAACGGCCTGCTCGCATTCGGCCTCAATGTCGCGTCTTTCGAGACGAACAAGCTGGCGGGCGCGTTGACCTTGACCATCTGTGCAAATCTCAAGCAATGTCTAACCATCGTATTGGGAGCCTTCTTGTGGGACGTGCCTGTCAGTCCGATGAACGGCGCGGGCATCCTGCTCGCTCTGGCAGGTGGAGCGTGGTACAGTAGTATAGAGCTTAAGTCCAAGGCGAGAGCAAGTGGATGAGCGAATGACACATGGCGTCGCGCTTTCTTAGCGTGACGCGCTACTCTAGCGAGAACAGAGTCCGTGCACATGTGATTCTTCTGTGACCCCAGACGTGCGTCCAACCGATCGCTTGGAGCCTGGATCCGAGTAAGACACTAGCATCCGTCTTTCCCGATATCCTGGTAGTATGCCTCGCTCTATCAACTTCTTTCGGAATCATGCCATTTATGCCAATCATGCAGCTCACCATACGAGATTGCCATGGGTGACGCCACGCTCCCGAGGTCTGCCTGACCACGGGGCTGCACGGTATCAATGCCAAAGGAGAGTTTTGCTGGGCTATGGCTGGCCTAAAGTTAGCGCTCTATTACCACTGATCATATCATAATCGCCTTCAGACGGCTGTGGCTCAATACACCTGCGCCATGCTTCGTCCTAGGACTCTCGTCTTCGGAACCCTGGTTTTCGCGACCCTGGTAGTTTTCTGGACTGCACTACATCTCAACTCCCTCGACACCATACGGCAAGCCGCGATACAAGATCCACTCACCGCGAATATCCAAGAATCGCGTCTTCACCTGCTCATTGTAGCTACGAGTAGTGGCCTCGACTTGTGCCGCCTTCTTCTCTCCGCGTCGGTGCTCTTGTACCCACCTCCTGTTCTCATCGACTGGGCAGGAGCGGGCGCATTCAACGCTGCAGAAACTCACCTTGCGAAAATCGCGGGTCCTCTTCGCTACCTCGAGAGTCTGTCCCCCGCACAAGATACAGACATAGTCTTACTGGTGGATGGCTTCGATGTTACGTTCCAGCTCGGTCCGGATGTCTTGCTAAAGCGTTACTTCGAAGAGACGGCTGCCGCCAATGATCGGCTGATCAACCGGTACGGCAAAAGCCATGTGCGGAAACACAACATTTACAACAGCATCTTTTTCGGCCCTGACAAAGTATGCTGGCCAGAAGATGTTCTTCGCTTAGCGTGCTGGGTCGTCCCTGACTCACCTCTTCACCCCGACGCTTTTGGCCCTTACACTGATGGATGGGGTGATATGAATCACGCAAGACCGCGCTGGCTGAACTCAGGCACCATCATCGGGCCCGCTGGCGAAATGCGCGAGATGTTTCGTGCAACTCAAGAAAAGATCAAGCAGACGTACAATCCCGAAGACGTGCTGCGCAACTCCGATCAGAAGTACTTTGCAGACGTATGGGGTGATCAAGAGTATGCGCGCATACTATCGCATGGAGATAAGCCCTACGGGATGCCCGAAGGAGTTCAAGAAATTGACCTACCAACGCTCAAGGAAGGCGAAGTGACTGAATATCACATTGGGCTGGACTATCGATCGAGCCTATTCCAAACAGCTGCGGGGTATAGGAACTACATTGCTTGGACGGCGACGAACCGATCCTCGCTTCCTTCATCATCGAAATCCGTGGAGCCGTACAGGATTGATCTACAGGAGGACGTGCTGCAGTCAAGGAAGCCATTTGCTGCTATATCAGATGATCCGGCCTTGAAGAAAACTTCGTGGCGAGATGTGTCTCTGGGTTTCAACACAGTTACTGGCCAGCCTTTCCCAGTGCTCCACTTCACAGGCGACAAGTCATTTCGAGACACTTGGTGGCCCCGCATGTGGTACTCTGGAGAGGCTGAGCGCCTTCAACGCGCGGCATCTCAAGTAAACGACGAGAAGATTGGGTCAGATCCTATCAATGGAGTTCGGTGGACCAAGAACATGCCGTACGACAGTAAAGTAGGCGAGCCAGAGGAGAAGTCGGGGGCTTGGAGTGACCAGGGGGAATCGCTCTCGTGGAAATCTCTTTGCGAGTCGCATGAACCTGCGTTGTACAGTGGAGAGGCCGAGAAAGTCTCGTTTTGGGACACTATATACCATTGATCACGAAGCATCAGGCGTTGAATTTACTAAATCTTAATACCAACATTGTGTTTCACACCAAACTGTACGATCACATGTAAAGTCTCTCATCGAACTCGCACCAAGGGTGGAATGCACAAATCTTACTGCCTAATTTCGCTCCTGTTCACATAGCCACGCCGCCCCTGTCGTGGCAGTTTACCGAGCAGATGGTCCAAGCCATCAAAGAGACTAGTGGCATCTCGGCACACCTCTTCCGGATGGTGCCGGCAAGTAGACCCACTAGTGTACGCCCATCCGCCACCTCCCGGAGTTGACGCCGCACGGCTGGGATATCCGACTAGCTCAAGTGTAAGTTTAGATCCTAAGAAGGCGAACTGCCATCGGTGACAGCTCATTACCAACATGAATAATGCGCTCGGCCGGGTGCAGATGCACTGCCAACTACGGCGCTGTCGCAAGCATTATCTCGCAACGTGAGCTTCACAGTTCCGCCGTGTCAGCACGGTTTTCTGGATGATGCGCGGGTACAAGCAACTCTCCAACGACGCGGTCGCGCGCCTACCAGGCTGGAGTCGCCAGCGTTGGATACTTTTTGCAGCATCTTTTATACTCGTTGTTATCTTCATTACTACCGTCAACAGCGACCGCCATCTTGTTCCCACTGCTTTCTCGTCGAGCAGCAAGAACAAGGCGAAACGCTCCTCTATCCTCCACGTCCTCATCCCGGCGGACCACAAAGATGTCAATCTTTGCAAGACGATGCTCAGCGCTGCAGTGGCTGGGTACCCAACCCCTACGCTGATCAACTGGGGCGCCACATTTGACGATAAATCGCTAGTGGCTGGAGGTTCGCATATCGCCAAGATCAGTGGTGTGCTCGAATACCTGCGTAAACTTGGACCGGAACGCGACGACGACTTGGTATTGCTGGTGGATGGATACGACATCTGGTTTCAACTACGACCCAGCGTGTTAATCTCGCGCTTCCACGCTATCAACGACGCGGCGAATGCGCGAATACGGAAGACCATGGGATCGAGAGCCGCGGCTGCAGAGGGGATAAGTCAGGACATTGTCTTCTCCGCGCAGAAGCGGTGTTGGCCTTGGAAACCAGAGGACCCCCCTTGCTATGCTGTACCGCAATCTTCATTGCCTGGCGACATCTACGGTCCGCAGACAGATACCGATATCGGCTGGGACAAGAATCCATACGTCAAGTTCAGACAACGGTACCTGAACTCCGGAGATGCCATGGGTCGCGTGGGCACAATGAAAGCGCTCTTCGAACGCGCTATGGAGAAGGCAGACAAGGACCGAAACTTTGGCAGCGACCAGAAGATCTTCAGTGAGATTTTCGGCGACCAAGAATTTCAACGCGAGGTCATGAGACAACGGCACAGGTCTTTCTTCCAAAAGACGGGGGATTGGTTGACGGGGAGAAAGAGCATCCTCAGCCCGCAGTCTGAGCGGCATTTGCGCGAGCACAAGGCTGGCAAGCCAGATGAGTTCGGCATCGGACTGGATTATGCCAGTCTACTTGGTCATCCCACAGTCTTCGCAGAAGAAGACTCAGCATGGGTTACACATGGCGACCCCAAGTCCATTGCGCAAGCGTCTGCTGAACTCAACGTCGCGCCAGTACGCGTTCACGACCTTGTCCAAGACATTACCGAGTCGCAACCGCCATTCCGCCCCGCAGTCGTCGCTCCGGGTGCCAAATTCCCCGATGAGAAGTCTTGGAACGATGTTCCTCTCTACACGAACATGTGGACGAGCGTCGTCCCTGGCCTGATCCACCACAACGCGCATCGAGATGGGCTCAAGTCCCTCCGCGTTTCGGTCTGGGATCGCATGTGGTACTTTAATCACACTAGGAAGTTGTACGAGTCGAATGCCATGGGACCGGTCGCGCCCGTTGCTGTAGTACATGATGATGCGGGCGTGGAGCAGGCGTGGTGGAGCCCAATCGCGGAGAAGGGCGGGGCAAAGTCGGACAAGGATGAATGGCTGCCATTCAATGATTTGTGCAAGGACTTTGAGAAAGAGGTGTTTAGAGATGTTTAGATTCTTCAGTGTCTTTCGAGTCATATTTATACTATAAAACTAATGACAATTACATAAAAGAAAGCATTTGGTCTATGCGTGTGTCGAGACCATGGCAAGATACCATTGCAATGTATCAGCTCACAGTAGTGACGTCAGACGCACGATCAAATGTATACTGCCATTGTTCTAGGGATTTCAGAGACAGAAAGAGACAACACGATTCAAGCAGACCCACACGGAATCCCAAACTAACACCATCATAGCGGCAACACTCTCGAAGTCGACATCAACGAGACGCACTCACTATACAAAGCGTGCGACCTCACATGAACCAATCTGTAACACCGTCCCAATATTTTATCTCGTCGTCATCTTTCCTCGAACTCGTACTCTCGTCAAGTCCAGTATGTCGCAATTTCATCGCCTCTTGCAAAGTAGGCCACTCCACTGCGCTCGTGCTGGCACCATCACTCGTCCATAGTGCAGCACTTGTAGGTGTGGCGGGTGTCTCCTCCTAGTGAGACTGGAAGTAAGACTCAGAGTAATACTCGTCATCTTCATCGTCGCAGTCGGAGTCATCAATGGGTTCGACATCAACCGTAGTCTCGGGTGGTGTAGGTACTTCCTCCCAGGAATCCGCCATGGACTTCGTAGTTACCGGATCGATGATATCGTACTCGGAAAGAAGACTGACAGTGTCGAAGTCATCGGTGTCTGAATTGGAGACGCTTTCTTTATGTTCAGCTTCCAGGAGTGCAAGCACTTTGGAGATTGTGGCCCTGTGATTATCTTGCGCGGATGGTTTGGAGTTTACGTGGCTGATGTCGAGGGTCGGTGAGCGCTGTGGGATACTGTCCTGATCATTCCGCGTATTGGGCGATGTGAAAATATCTGATAAGAACACGCTAGATACTGCAGGCTTGTCTGACAGCGCAGTATACCATTGATAAGCGTTCCACGGATGTTCTGCCTCCGACGTTTTGAACGGGTCCTGAAAGGGTGGACGAGAAGAGCTTTCGGAAGCAGGAGAAGTGGATGAGGTTATTCCCGTGTGTAAACTGTCATATTCAAACGATGGGGTTCCGAGTATGGGCTGCTGGGCCGTGGAGGTGCTCTCGCGCGCGATGAGTTTGCCGTCGGCGAAGAACTTGGACTTTCGACCGGGTTGCTGAGGAATATAGCAACGCGAGTGGGGCTTTGCTAGAACAGTCGCTTCTTGCGGTGACAGCCTGATACGCGCATGACCCGAGCTCCTCAGCGTGTCCGACTGATGATCTTTTGCTGGAGTTGGTATTGAACGGCGTTGCCAACAGCCGTGAAAACGCGGGTTGACTTTCATCCTTTCAGCGTCCAAGAATGGAGGTTCCCGCCCAAGGCGATGTGTGATGGATGGGGATTCAGTTTTTCCATTCACTGTCTCGGGTTCGGTGGGTTGAGAAGCACCAGAAGGGGATACAAAGGTTGGCTCAATCATGTTGGAGGACATGTTGACAAGACTGAGGGGACAGGGAGTATTCGGGGTATTCGCGACGGTTGGGAGAGAAAGTGGCCCCTTTTGCTGGATATCTGACTCGTCAGTGGATGTGGTAGGCTTGGCCTGTAGACTCCTCGAAGTGAGTGCAAGATGTGCTGCTTTTGTTGCGGCGTGTTGTGCGTGTGACGAGGATGTAGGAGGAGGGACTGAAGACTCTGAGGGTTGCCGACCTTTTTTAGGAGCCTTTGATTCTAGAAATTTAGACTTGGATGGAAACCGTCCTGAAGAATCGGGACAGGCAAGAAAAGCGGAGATTGGGAAGAATTGAGAATTCTGCCGCTTAGTCGCTGCGCCATTAGAGGACATTTGAGACCGCAGTGCTTTGATCTGGGAGGACTGGGACTGGCTTGTTGCAGTGGCTGTTGAATCTGGAAGAAATTGTGGGGCCCAAGAAGGTCTGTCGATATCGAAACACGGAGGATTGATAGGTGCGGCCTTTCGACTATGGCTAGAAGTGTCGTCCATCCCTGGTTTAATCGGCTCATCCTCGTTAAGACGCAACGCAGCCATGGTCTTGCACAACGCGCTAATGTTTGCATTGTCGCATCGTTCAGTATCCTTGGTAGATGAGTCTTTGCTTCTATGGCGCTTTCCTCCCCGTTTGCCTCGCCGCCTCGTGCTTCCGGTGGTGGTGGGAACAAAATCGAAATTCCACTTTGGTTCCGTGGGCGACTGTTGGAGCTCTGCTAGGATGCTGAATTTGTTCGCTATAAATGTTAGAAGCCGTCAAAGCGCATGCCATCTAGTGCCAACGTACGCGTAGGAGTGAAATCATGCTCATGAGGACAGGTAGTCAAGCAGTATTTAGCGGAAATGGCTCTGGTGTCGCGTACTCGACAATCTGAGCAGCGACCGTCCTTCAGCGGGCGCGCAGGCTTGGAGAGTTGCGTCGAGGTTCTGTCATTGCGGATCGGTTGCGCCTGTCCTAGGATCATGCTAGAGGTGTAACGAAAGGCAATGTTGGACTAGGAAATATAGGGCGAACGAGAGAAGGTGACGGAGCTGTAGGTGCAGTATTTCGGTTTATCGTGCGATAGCAAAGAAGAAGGTTGAGGTGTATTCGGAAGGACAGCCATGGCGATAAGGGTGCCATGTGGCTAAGAGGAGCGTTACTGCCCTGCAAAGGAGCGCCGTTCGTCCTGCCTTGAGGTCGTGCCTTCTCCATCAGCGGTCAGTCAGTGGCTCCTTCCAGCTTGAGCCTTCGGTTTGATGTCTGACGCAGGAAGGCGCACCCGGTGAAGTCTAGGGTCCATGTGAATATCATGACCTCGGGAAGCTCTGCATCGTTAGTCGCTTCGACTGGAGCTGTCGGCAGGAATGCACAGGTAGCCACCTAGATGGAGTGAGAGCAAACGGATAAACAGTATTCGCTTGCATTACTAGTCAGCCGATATGCTGTATTGTACAGAATACATCTTCTGGCAGAAGCTTGCCCTGCATTGCAGGGTCGCCGTCTGCAGACTCTCCTTGACTGTCACTGACCCATCATTACGACATGTACTGGCGTAATTTCCGACAACCAGTAGAATAGTCTCTTTAAGCAGCACGACGACAACGCGTATGGAGAGAAAAGGGAACAAAGAAAGTGGTGGTGTTTCAGTGTGGGCGGTGGAGGATGACAAATGGAGCTTAAGCTATGGCCATGAGGTCAGAGGTGTGCAGCTAAAATTGGTGGGGAAGCCATGTCTCCATCTCTGCCTGGACTTCTCTGCTGTCGACTAACCCCACGTAGCAAATACCCTCGCCGCACACTTCTCCCGTCCCAGGGCGCTCCAGGATAATTGGCAACAAGCAGCAGGCCGCAATTACCTGGAGCCGCTTCCGAATCCCCAGTCGCACTTTCTTCCGCACGCCCCAGCAAACATGGCCGACACCGCACGCGCAGCCACGGCGCAGAAGCAGCACCGGCGCCCAGGCTCGCGCATCGTGCCTGCCATCCCCTACCGTCTGTCCAAGTCTCAGCCATCAGCCAGACCCATCACACCAGACGGCTCCACCAAGGACAGTGTCGCCCAACCAGCTAAGCCGCAGCCGGAGCCGCAATCCGCGCACGAGAGGCAGGAACAAGAGCAAACTGAAAATCAGCAGGCCGAGGCGGTGCAGACTCCTCTTACGCCAGAGTCAAACACTTCGGGCGCAGAAAAGAGAGGGCTCGATGCAACCGCCGCGCCTGGCCCGTTGCAGAATGGCCACTCGGCACCGGCAGACACTCATGGTGAGCATTCACTACCGGCTCCTTCTTTGACGCAGCACGTACTAAACTCCCAAGATGCAGACAACCACGTCAACGGCCATGCCGACGAGAAGCCTCCCGCGCCCGTGGAGCCCAGCGCCGAGCCCAAGCCTGCCACGAACGGAGTGCACCGCAAACTGACCATACCCGCCCACCTGCCTCCACCCTTCTATCCCTCGAACAAGACGGACACGCAGACACCGCCCACAGAAGGCAGCGACAGCGCTCACACTTCCTCGCACCGCCACCAGCTCAGTGCTGGTGCTCTGGTCTTCCAGAGCGCGAATGAGTCACCGGCACCTCCTGTGGCTCCTCAAGAGCCAGAGCTGCACCAGCACGAACAGCACGCGCTGCCACGTCCTCCGCCTGGGTTCGGTCCCCAGCAGTTTGCGCCTTTCTTCCCCGGCCACGCCCAGCATCCCTCAGAGGCAGGAGCGCCCTGGCATGTGCCGCCACAAGCAGTCGCACCGCCTGAAGCTGCCTACGCAAACGGCTCCGAGTTTCGACCCTCGCAGTTTCCCAGCGGTCCTGTCCTCTATCCGGGTCCTCCCAACGGTCACTTCTCGCCGGAACAGGCAGCTTTTGTCGCAAACGGTACCCGCACCTCGCACTCGCAGTCACCAAGCAAGGCACAATTTGGCGATACGGTACCCACATCAGACCACGGGGACGAGCATCATGCCATGCCCTACCAGAATGGCACTGCCCCTCCTACCGAACGCCTCGAGGAGTCGCCGTTTGAACTTGCCAGCTATTTGTCAATCCAATTCGCCAACCCCGAATTCGCCGACTTCATCCTCCAAGTTCGGTCACCTGAGTCCATTCTGATGTCAGTACCAGTTCACGGTATCGTAGTCGTGCGGAGCCCTGTCATAGCCGAAGCAATTCGTCGCAGCCCGGCCCCCAGCCACCGCAGCAGAGACGCGCGCCGACTGGTCGATGTCCTTGCGCTCGACCCTTTCACTACCGGCGAATCCCTAGAGGAAGCTGTCAGGGTTCTGTATGGCGCCCCGCTCCTTTCTGCCCAGACCTTCCTGTACGGCCTTGCACCTTACATGTACGAGAACGACCAAGCGACCCCTTCCAATGACGCCCGTATGCGCATGCGACAAGTTCTGAGCTACATTGCGGCAGCAAGGACTCTCCAGATGCCTAGCATGCAGGCGCGTGGTATTGAGATCGCAAGGATGCTTCTCCGATGGGATACTGTCGAGCAGGTACTGCAGTATACACTGCAGGCCAGCTCTGGGCCACGATCAAGAGGTGAAGGTCCCGATGCAGAAGACCCCTTTATTTCAATGCTGCTCAATCACGCTCTCGAGTTCATCGCATACACCTTCCCTGTCGACTTCAAATTGTACGCGATAGCCCCAGAGTTTTCAGATGCTCCACGTCTGCCAGCACTCGTTGAACCACGCAACGCCGCGCATAACCCAAGGCTAAGCAAGATTCGGTTCGGTGACGCGCCACCGGAAGATGATCACCGCCCTAGCCACGCGACCGTCGTGCTGTCGACTATCCTGCTATCTTTGCCACTTCCACTCGTGGAACGGCTCTTCAATCATCGGGCAACAGCGAATCAACTCGGATGGAGTGGTGCCACCAAGATCTTGCGCGAAGTAGTCAACGAGCGTGAGAATCGGCGCCAAAAGGCATCGGCGGGCCAGTTGAAGCCGGGCCAAGATGGCACCATTCCAGCCGGCCTCTTGAACAACGTGTATCTTGAAGAATGCGTGGAGCAAGTCGAGCCATCACCTCTTCACCCTTCCGGCCATCGCTTGGCGACGAAACGGGTCGCCAGCGACACATGAGGGGCCGTCCGAACAAGTGGAGCCTCGACGACGTTAGTTCTTTCTCATGTCAGCATTCGACGTTCGGCACGACTTTTCGGGCCGGCGACATACAAACCAGGTCGGTTCTTTCCTTAGGGTGTAAGCATAGTGAGCGTTCATGGGCGTTCACGCAGGCGTTGTGAGCGAGTCCTTCCACCAAAACCTTTCCTACGGTCACCAAAAGTACGTTACGATGTGACGAAGCATATTCCCCAAGATCATGACAGCATGCCAGCTTGACTTTGATTTGTACATCATTACGGCATAAATGTTTTCTTTTCTCTATGATGATGGCGGCGTCTTAGGCAAATGTGTCGGAATCAGACGCAGCGCGGTATACAAAGGTGGAGGATGAAATCTCACGGGTTAGATAGGCCGCGCTGAAGGGCGGAAAAATAGCATCAGGGTATTCAGCAGACTACATATGCGAAGCGCAGTGTTCTTGGAAGGTACGACGATGGGATACAGCCCTGTCTCGGCCGGAATTGCACGGCTGTAATGCGGAGATAACAATCAGGAAAGTTTCATGACGTGCCTGTTGCCGCGCACGTGGCGCGCCGTTGTCTACAAGGCTGTACCCCCTAAGGTTTTGACTAAAGCATGAAACCGAAACGTTCCTCATAACGAAATCCCCCGACTGGTTACGGTGTGTTGGACAAACTTTAGCAAGTACGTTTCGCCATGTCTTCCTCAGCCTCAACTTCCAAGGCTGGAGCGAGCTGTGGGTTGCTTGAGAATATGCCCGAAAGAGAAGGAAGTATAGCGCAGCCCAGGTCTGTGTTGCACCCTTTCTAGCCGATGCCCCCAGTCGACTCCGAAGCTTGATATATGGTCTCCTGGGGCTGCTTGTCTCTCATTCACGTCTCCTTTCGACGTCTTTCTAAGTCCGCGTTCCGCCAACTCTTTGATTTTTTTACTCGTTATCTCTTGCTTGTGTGCTTCTTAGCAAGCGTTGCTATTGGTAGTTTCCGTTTTTAAGGACCCCATTTCACCAACAAGAACCTCGTTGGACACTCACTGCCGGGCCACTGCTCCGTCTTGATACCTAGCTACAACACTTCCACTCGCGACAGCTACACTGGCAGCGGGAACAGGCCCAGTATGCCACCTACGAACGTATCGACGCTGGACCCCGGTAGACAGACTGGACCGGCTTCCTATGAGTTGACGAACTTTGGCGGACCTAGTCAACAGCCATCCCTTGCGACCTTGAATTCGCAGTACAGTGCGGAGTCGTCGAAGGATCCAAGACATCAGCCATCGTATGCGACTTTGAATTCACTGCGCAGCACACACAAGGAGCGCGTGATAGAGGACAAGGACGATGAAAATACAGCCGAGAGCAGGCTGGAACCTGCGCGATCGAGTCAACCTAATGTGAATGACGCGTCCAAAATACCTAATGGTGGACTGTGGGCATGGCTGCAGGTCCTCGGGGCGTTTTTTCTGTTGTTTAACTCTTGGGGCGTAAGTCAAAACCACGTACAGACTTCATGAAAGACCTGAACTGACCCTACAGCACAGATTATCAACACATTCGGAACATTCCAAACATATTACGAAACGAATTTGCTCGCCAGCTCGAGTGCTTCAGCCATATCCTGGATCGGGTCTATACAGGCGTTCCTGCTCCTCTTGGTCGGCGCACTCACTGGTCCCATCTATGACGCAGGCTACTTTCGCGCACTGCTCATCGTGGGAAGCTTCATGTTGGTTTTGGGCCAGATGATGCTCAGTCTATGCCATACGTACTGGCAAGTCCTTCTCGCACAAGCGTTCTGCATCGGTATTGGCACTGGATGTTTGTTTATCCCTAGTGTGGCTATCCTTTCAACCTACTTTTCTACCCGAATCGGAACAGTAATTGGAATTGCCGCAGCTGGGTCATCGCTTGGCGGAGTCATCTATCCCATTGTATTCCACAAACTCATTTCTCAAATCGGATTCGCCTGGACGACACGGGTGCTCGGCTTCATTGTCCTCGCCACTATGACTGTACCCAATGTTTGCATGCGCGTCCGGGTTCTGCCGGCGGAATCGCGTTCTCTTCTCGACCTGCGTGCATTCCGGATGCCGTCATATAGTCTCATGGTCGTGGGATTCTTCCTTGGCTTCATGGGCTTATATATGCCGTTCTTCTATGCACAAACCTACGCTATCCAGGAACATATTACGAGTGAGAGTATGGCATTCTATCTCCTCGCCATCATGAATAGTACGAGTGTCTTTGGGCGTATAGTACCGAACTTGGTAAGCTTTTCCGCCACCCTCTGGATACTACTTTTGTTTGGCCTGGAGTTACTAATTTCTCTCCGTAACAGTTCTCCGACAAACTCGGCCCTTTCAACGTCGTAATCCCTTGCTGCATAATCTCTGGCGTTCTCTGCATATGCTTCATGGGTGCCACCTCCTCCGCCGGCATCATCGTACTCATGGCATTCTACGGTTTCTTCTCCGGATCTTTCGTCTCGCTTCCACCCGCCATCGTGGTTCAGCTGAGTAGTGACGCGCGAGACAAGGTCGGCACAAGGATGGGTCAGGCCTTCGCTGTCGTGGGTGTGGGGCTGCTGATTGGAACGCCGATCGGAGGTGCGATTCAAGAGCAAAGTGGTTTTGCTAGCTTGTGGGTGTTCGGAGGGTGTCTGCTATTCGGATGTGTGCTGTTGCTGATTGCTGCTCGGGTAGCGTTCAAGGGGCGGAAGATCATGGTCAAAGCATGAAGTAGGAAACGTGAGCACGAAAGAGAATGAACCGTTACGCATGGAAGTCGATGACAGTCTATATCTTACTCAACATCAAGGGTGTTTCCCAACTCCAGATAACCCAAACAACAGACATTGGACGATGACGCGCATCACTTCGCTTCACACCACGCCTTCAGGTCATCATTATAGCCCTCCCATCCTTTTTTCGTCTTTTCCGGGAAGCCGAACTTTCGCGCCACCGCGTTGTCACCCATGAGAAAGGACAGCGCGCCGCTGAAGACCTCTTCTTGAGCGAACTTCGTGCCGCCTGAGATGGTACTACTGGGCTCGAAATTGAAAGAATGCGTGCCTGTGAAGAGAAGTGGTACAGACCCTGTCCACGCAAAAGAGGTAGGTGTGTTATGCTACAAACTCTATTAGACAATGTCGCGTCATAGTCTAGTACAGTTATGACGTACTTCTATTGGAGCATCCATCTTTTGTCCCGATGAGAAGACGACGCGTATCTTGTTCCCGGGTTCGACGGGGCCGAGTGGGGTCAGAGAAGCGAAGAAGCCCTTGTGATACTGGGGGAGGGATGCGAAGTCGAGAAACTGATGATCTTGTAAGCATTGTGGTAATCATGCTTCCGATTAAGCCGGGACAGGTCAAGCTCATACTTTTGCGCGGACATCTTCCGGTGAGGATGCGATTTCGATGCTTGCTGTGACGGTCATAGCTGCGAGTTGGCAGATGAGATGCGATGATCACTTCGTAAGTTCAATGGATAGAATTTGTTCCGACGAAGACAAACTTGCACCTTAATGTGACGATAGGAGATGCAGTGACGATATTTATTGCAGATAGCGTGACGCCTTCGTATGAATCCATATCTACAGCTGCTCAGCGGACGAAAGATACCATGATGTACCTATGCCTTTTGCGGCTCAATGCGCGCATACATGTCAGTGTGGCTTTACACTACAAGGGGATCTGGAAGACTCTCTTCGCGTTAGCGTTGGAAGGTCGATGGAAGAACGCAAGAAGGGGCGGTGCGGCACGTCTTAGGGGTCGAGGCATCTCGCCCAATGAGCCGCAAGCGGTTTAGCCTGACCCCAGATTAGGCCGATGTCCCCCCATGTCAGCCCATGACCTCCCCACCTGCCTCTTCAGCCACCTCGTCCAATGTACCGCATCCGTCTCATCCATATGCATCTCGAAAAAACCAAGTCTAGATCATGGTCAATGTAGCCGGCCGTTCGAAAGGATGCTCAACCTGCCGCAGGCGCCGTATCAAGTGCGGTAAGCGCCATCGTCGTGCACATTAGACCTCAGGCTGACCCTACTAAAGATGAGACTCGCCCAACATGTCAGAGATGCGAAAAGGCTGGCTTCAAATGCGATGGTCCACAGTCGATCGTCTTTGTGCAAGGCAAAATCGTCAAGTCTAGGAGGTCACAGAAGTTGAAGAGCAAGGCGGCGGACCCGCCCGTAACGACTGTCTGGAAGAGGCAAGAAGTAGAAGAGTCTACCTCGGAATCTCCTGAACACCGCTTCGACCTCCCTGAAATCAGGCCTAAATTCAACGACAAAGAAGTTTGCATATGTTATGCACGCCGCCATCTTCTACCCAACGGTCCCATAGACCTAGGGTTACAGGAACTTCAGCCCTCAGACATTGTCACGGACAACTACGCCGTAAGAGGAGCAAGCAGCCCATTATTTGTTCAAGCCGCACTCAGCTTTGCAACCCTCTTCTTCGGCGCGCAGCATCACCAGAGTGGGATCCTCGCCAAAGGTTATGCCATACATGGTGTAGCTCTCAAGCGGCTGAATCAGGCTTTGAGCCAGCCAGAACGCCGTATGCATGACGACGTAATCGTTTCCGTCATTCTATTGGCTATGCTTGAACTTTTCATGCCCACTGGACCAAGAAATTGGCTCAAGCACATGCTTGGAATGGAGCAGCTCCTGGCATTACGTGACCCAGCATCCCTGGTTCACGCGTCATTTCGGACACTTGAGCTGTACAAAGGTGTGCGGCATATGATACTGATAGCATCATTGAGGAACAGAACGCCATCAATCTTTGCGCGACCACAGTGGAAAGCTGTACTGAGAACAGCGCTCTCGCTGGAAACTCCAGATGAACAAGACTTGCATGACGTGCTCGCAGATTGTTCGGTGCTAATAGCTGCGAGTGATGAGCTCTTCAAGCTTCAGCATGCGTCTGGCTTAAGCTATATTCAACGGCGACAGGAAATGCAATGCAAGGCAGATGGGACCTTAGTCTTTCTTCGAGCGTGGAAACGACGATGGGATAGCAATGAGGAGAACGTCCATATCGAAGAAGAGTGTCTTGATCCGACCAGTACCCAGATTTCGCCACGCATTATATACCGGTTCATGAGCGACTCTGTTGCACGGATGCTGATGTTGTACAACACCGCATTGATCTACACCCTCCGTGTCATGGCGACTTTAGGAAGCAAAACCAACGGCACACAAGACATTCCGAGCGATCACATGCAGGGCGGCACAGGCGCGGATGGTGTGACTGAGAGTTCTTACTATCCTGCCATCCGTGCAGCAGGGCTCAATATTGCCCGCTGCATCACTGACTATCTGCAACACAAACGTGCGCGAGGAGAAACAGACTTTGTCTCACCCATGGTACAGTGGGCTGTGATCACCGCCGGGCAGGCATTAGGCGGCGAGGAGTCTCCGGATGGCAAATGGATGGTCAGCCTGCTGAAAGGAGACGCTATGTATACGATTGCGAAGAGAGCTTGGGAAGTTTGAAGGTACTCATAGGTAACTGGCAACGTGTAAGTCGAGAAACCGAGAGTTGCGCCGCTTTGTCGCAGCTGGCCCAGCGTTCACTAATATGATGCAGTTCCTGTGCAGTCGAAGTACGAAGTCACTCTCAAAAGGTCTGACCATGGATAAGTTATCGATTCTTCGTCATCAACACGTCTGAAGCCTTTCTTGGCAGTGCCGTGCCTAGACACTTACAATGCTCCTACTCTGGCAGCCCATATCCCTACCTCCCAACAATCTTCTTCTCGAGATACCGCGCAGGTATGTACACCAGGGCAGTCACAACGAATGTGAACTCATTCGCAATGTCACCACCGTCAGCTCCGATGAGCCCACCTAGCGGACCGACATACCACGTTTCGACCATGCCAAGAATCCACGCGACGATTCCGATGGCGAAGGCGGTGCCGGCAGCAATACCCAGCGGCAGACGACTGGGATCGTTCCATGCATCTAAGTCGTAATTATCGAAGTTCATACGACGGAAGATAACGTGCTCGCTGCACAGAATGACAAAGTATTGAGTAGTCCAGTAGCCGAGCAGACTGAGAAAGTTCTGCAGGTAAACACTCAGTTGCTCACGGCCACCAATAGCGAGACCGAGGATGGCAGCGAAACAGACCAGAATCCAGATGAAGCGGGGAACGCGTGCAAAAGGACGGGAAAATTGCTGGCAAGAAATGGCGGCGCTGTAGATGGATATAACGTTTACGTTGATGCCGGAAAGGACCAGAAGCGTGAGGATCAGCTTTGCGAAACCGCGTGGGTAAAGCATGGTTTGGATGAGAAAGCCCAGGCCGTCGTTGTCGTACACTTCTTGCCAGTCTGGTCGGTTGTTCATGCCGAATGATACGACGCAGCCCGCCAGCATACCGATGGAAGTAGGAATAGCTATACCGAAGGTGGTCATGAGGAAGACCTTCCAGCGGGAGACGTTAACGGGGTAGTGGACGTAGTAGTCGGATGCCATGGTCTGCCACGATGCAGAACTACCGTAGACAATAGCAATCAAGCTCAAAACCTGTCCACTGAGGTCCGCTCCCTTTAGCTTGGGCGTACTGCTGTTATCGGTATACTTGCCCGTCTCGGCGAAGAAGATGATGAAGATGATGAAAAAGACGAACCACGCGTAGCGCTCGTAGACCAGAATAGCTCGCAGACCGACAAACGAGATAAGCGTAGCGACGACAGCCAGGATGACGATACCGACGATCAGCGAGATATGGCCATCCGCTACAGCAGTCAGCGCCAAACCACCCGTGATGCAAGCCACAGACGCCCAGCCAATCTGCACAATAGTATTAAGAGCAGCAATAACCTTGTTAGGCCACCACCCAAACGCATATCTTGACATGGAAATCTGCCTCAGCCCAGTCGGCGCACCAAAAGTGGCGGCAAACCCTGTCGCCGCGCCACCAAGGATAGACGCAAAGATGGTAATGACGATACTCTGGCGAAGCGCTGCAAAACACAGAACAATCAGTCATGCTGTTGCAAGTGCGCGGGAAACAGTATGTTCTTACTCAAACCGAACTCATGCCCGAGGAAACCCGTCGCGAAACAAGACGTGTTCATTGTGCCCGAGGCCCAGAGGAAGAACATGTTGAGTTGGTGGTGCCATGGCACGTCGCCCTTATCTTCTGGCAGTTTGCGACTGATGGCTTCGGATTCGATGCCTGCAGAGGTAGAGGTACGAAGTCAGTATATGTCTCACATGCACTTCGTACAGTCAGAACTTACCTAGTTTCGCATCTAATCGCTCTTCGAACCGGCGCAGTTTGGCGAGGATTCCGGTTTCGCGCGGGACGGCTGTCGCAGCGCCGACTCCTCTCCCGCTGTCTGTCGAGAGACTGGCTTCGTCCTGGGCTTTTTCCGCTGACAACATCATGGGCAGCGTCGATCGTGACAAAGACTCAGAAAGAAAGGTGACTAGAAAGGGTTGGACAAGACCAACCCAGGGTCAAACAGGGCGAAGCATGGTCGTTCTATAGTAAACTACCCCACCGCGCACACTCGGCTCCCAGCCGCGTCATGAAAAGCCGTTTTGACGCCGATGGCAGGGTGCGAAGAAAAACGATTGCCGTATGCCGCCTAGCCTGTGTGCTTGCGAAGAACTAGTAGCTCCACTCTTATCTTTGACAAGCACTTCTGGGCAAAGCTTAGCCTGTCGGCAATCGTGGATTACTCCCTCGGTAAGGAGCGTTGCGTGTGAGCCCTGCATATGGCTTGATGCTTATCAGGAGTTGGTACGCTGATTAGGTGCGACTTCGGTTCGTGGCTGACTAGCGGGATGATTTCAGGCTTTCGAGCCGTTCACAGAGCGGCTGGATGATTTGCATTTTCGGAGTAGGCCGATGCGTAAGCACACCATCCTACAAGCCACGTGCGAAGCAGCATCCCATCACGCGACCATTTCGCAGTCCGTGAAATATTATTGCCATTTGCATGAAGCAAGGCAGAGGGCATTCATTTGGCCCTCCAGCAGAAGGAAGCTATCAACTATGCCAGCTCTCCTAGTGTACATACTATACAATGTATTGACCCGTTCAGATCATGGTTGGGCATAAGTCATGCATCGGATGCAAATGTATTCATGGTTCCAGGAACTGTCCGCTACACCGCTTTTGCGCGTGCTGATTGCAAGGTACCGCTCTTTCTGAGCAAGAAACCGGCGGCCTTGCTGGTTAAGGGGGTGACAGTTCCACGCTCGGGTTGTGCCTTCTTTGCTCCCCTCGATTGCTTCTGCTTCATCTGTTCAAGCCTAGCCGGTATACCTGAACCCAGACCACGCTCCCATAGAGCATAGCTGATGACCTTGTCTTGACCAGTCTTGCTGCGCTTCTCAACCTTGGTAGGCTTGACGCGACGCAATTCGACGTTGCCCAGATTAATCAAATCGCCCAGGTCGGCCCTCCTCTTGGCGTCGGCATCAGATGTGGCCTGCTGCTTCGCTCGCTGACGTGCCTTCTGCCCTTCTACATGCATAGCGCTGAAGAGACTGGTAGGCTGGGGTTTGGCGGCCTCTAATAGATGATTGTATAGATCGCCTAGGGTGTTCGCGGAAGAGAGGTGTGGATCGGAGATGCGGCAGCCGGTAAGTTGGTAAAGGCGTTTGTAAAGCTACATAAGTCAGCAAAGGTAAAATAAAAAGGGTCGATACACGTACAGCGAACTTGACGTTGATGTCAGTGACGGGAACGTGCCGCCATTTCGTCTCTTCAGGCTTGATAGCAGACGAATCTCTGCTGCTCTGCTGAACTGAGGTTTTTAGAGCCGCAAAGTCAGCCGCCAAACGCTTCGCTCTCTCTTCGAGGATAGCATGTCGCGACTCGCTCGCTGCAGCTGGAGCGATTTGGTTAACGGGCTCCGGGTCGGCTGCATGGTCAACAAGCTCGGTTTGGGGTACATCTTGAGCAACTTGAGGTGGCGTAGTTTCTTGAACGACCACTTCCTCAACAATTGCCTCCTTGACGGGCGCTTCAACTGGCTTGGCGCGAGGGACGGGGCGGTTCGACATGAAGTCAAACGGCTTGTTCTCGCCATCCATCTTGACCACTGCTGCTTTCTTGTGTGCTGGTGTGTCGGGGTCCATGGTCTGTACTTGCTCCTGTGCAAGGCCGGCATCCTCAAGTTCCTCAACGACCTCTTCAACGAGCAGCTCGTCCGATACCTCTGGCTCAGCCTCCCAAGCGGGTGCCGTTTGCATCGTCTCCAAGAGATCATCCAAGCTCTTGTGCTGGGGGAAGGCAAGAGCAAGCTCACCGCTTTCTGTCTTGACTAACTTGATGTCCTTGACCCAGCGTGGCCGATCGTAAACACCTCGGTTGGCAAACTTGGATAGGTCCATATCTAAACCAGCCTGCTTCAGGGCATAAATCTCGGCGACAGCTTGTGTGAAACTGGCACGCATATCGGTAATCCGGGTAGCTTTGGCGTGGAGGCCAAAGTTGTAGTCGGTATATGGGCGCTTGGTCTTCTCGTGTACAGTTTGCGCCATAAGCAGGTTCTCGTCCTTCAAAGTGTACGGAGTGCCCGTGAGCTCTTCGATCTCATTGGCCATGTCCAGTGTCAGTGGCGTGTACGTCCGTAGCGTGAGTTTCTCGAATTCCTTAGCCAGGTCCTTTTCGACCTTTTCCTGCAGCCATTCCTCGCCACCGACCCGATGTAGGCCGCGTAGATACTTCGCAGGTTTGTATTGGGGGAATCTTGAGGCTTCCTCGTCAAGGACCTCTTCGTACTCGCCCTGGTCTTCAGGCGCTATGCGGACCGGTGATGTGGGATCATAAGGGTCGACGTGTGCACCAATAGGCTCTGAGTCGCCAAGAAGACGCTTCTGCCATCTTCGCACGAACTGCTGGTGCTTTCTCTTGTCCTGTTTGCCCGGCAGCAGGAAGGACTGGGGTGCGGTTGTGGAGAAGGCGGCGGATGGGGTGCGGAGATGGGTGCAGGGCGACGGGGCGGGGCGGCAGGGCAATGGCGAGACTCGTTGCCGTATGCAAGCGGAGAGGGGATGTGAGGGATCAATTGCCCGCGAGGGGCGCGGTATTCGGCGCATTGGGTTCGAGATGCGGGTGATGCACATCTGCTGGAAATTCCTTCGACATGTCGACGAGCACGCCAAGCCGCCGGACATCAGCCAATCAGCGCCCTAGCAGCCCCGAGCACTGGAGAAGCCCATGGTTTTGGAGAACATGCATCGTCTGATCTCTGCCTGCACTTTGATTTTTGATCTAGACATGTTGGCATCAAGATACTGTCATGTTCAAGTGTCTATTATGTATATCATGAAAACTTCTTTACTAGCCACGTAGAGCCCCTCTCGTCATACTCGGCTTTGGACACGAGCAACTCCTTCAACAAGTCGGGTTGGCTAGCGACGTTTGCTCCTCCTAGCCATGTGTGCTTGATCGGGTCATCTGCCCGCGCCACATTCAGCGTATACTCGGCTGGTACCAGAGCCCTCAGCTCTGTCTGCATTCGTTCCATGAAGCCGGCAATCAACGAGTTCCCGCCTACCACTACAACATTCGCCAACAGGCCGATTCTTAGAGCTTCTGGCAGTGTGCTCAGCGACTCCATGACGGCGCCAGGTATTCCAGCTTCCTGGATGCCAATATCGGAAGGGTTGAAGAGGAGCTCGGGCACGGCGAAGCGCTCATTGCCTAGAGGCAGCAGATCTTCTCTCGGTCCTTGCAGCGGCTGTAGCCCTCTGCGCATGCGTGATTTTGCAGGGTCGTGGGGTCGCGCATGCCCGTGTATAGCATTCTCGTAGTCCGGCAGCACATAGTCGACCACCATGCTCGAATCCACCTCTCGTTTATCTCCCAGCCGTCCTTTCCAAGTGCGCTCCAGATCTTTAGCGAACTGCTGCGATGATGGCACGACGTACGAGACTGCTTCTTTGATCTCGTTGAGCAGATATGTCTCCTCCATCATGTTGTAGTGCCGCAGCGAAGAGAGCTCTTTCAGGTAGTTTGTGAGCAGCTTCCCACCGACTGTGAGCCGCCGCACAGCCGATTGTATGAGCTTGCCATTGTAGAGAGGGAGGACGGTCGTGTCTGAGTACGATGTGTCGATGATGAGGAGGCATTCTTGCGGTAGCGATGCCAACGAGGACGCGGTGGGAGGGTTGTAGGCATTGAGTGTCGCGCCAACGCACCGGTAGTAGGCCGCAAATTCGAACTGCTCGAAGATGATCTCGTCGCAGTTCTTCTGCAGCTCTTTCGGGCAGTTTGGCTTCTCTGTCAAGACCAGATTTGTGTCTTTCGGGTCACACTGCGTACTGTCAGTTCTCACACCCTTCACGAGCTCGCGACTGTGCGTACCCACCCTCAACCCCTCCCCCACGGCGTCGCCCATGAACTCATGCTCCCATATCGCCTTCTCCGCCTCCCAGTTGACAATGAAGCCCTTTTCCACTGGACGGCGAAACGCCAGTTCTCCAAAGTCTTTACACGAATCGAGCTCGGCGCCGACGTAGGTGCACTTGTCGCGTGTGCTGCGCGCGATGCAGTTGGGAATGACACTGCAGTCGTCGTAGGTAGGCTCCGAGGCTGGCGAGACTAGACCGGCTTTGATCGAATATGCGCCATTGTCCAGGACGAGCGTCTTGTTGGGCGCTGCAGCCGCCGACTTCTTAGACCCTTTGGGTGCCATCGTTGGTGTTTGTTGGTCTGCGCTGACGGAGCGATTCGCGACGCCCAAATTGCGACGCCTGTTCACGTGCGGCCCACCTGACCCTTGACCCTTGACAAACCGCCATCAACTTCTTTCCCAAACCCGATGATAGGCACAATGTGCCCCGGATGGCAAGACCTGACAAGCCCGTCATGACAGATGCAGAATGGCTGGTCCAGCCACCAACACATGACTACCGTTGTGGGAGTGACCCGACTAATATAAGCAGGTTGGAAGTGCGGAGTATGCATGCCCCGCGATGCACCCCTATCGCCGTCCTGACATGCTTTATGCTTCTCCCACTGTGGCATTCCAGAGACACCAGGACCATCACTCGCTTTCCTTAGGCCCTGAGGCTGGGATCCAGCTAGTCTATGACGTCAACCTCTCTTTGGCAACGAGGCACACGAGCCCACGAACACCATTCAAACAATCTTTGACTCTAGAGCCCTAACATCCAGATTCTTTTGCAATGGACGACTGGCAAGACGCCGCCTTCTCGACGCGGCACATGCACAACCGCACTGGCCGCAGTGGAAAATCCAAACATACGAGCGCATTCGACGTTCACAAGACATTCGCAAGCTATTCTGTCAAATGTCCGGCATGGCAAAAAGCCCTGGGCGCAACTGGGGATACGCAGCCAGAAGAAGATGCATCGCTGGAGCTATATCGCTTGACTGAAGGCGGCGAGGGTGTCGTGGGCCAAATGTCTTTGCCGGGCTTGTTACAAGCGTCAGTCATCTTAGCTGGCAGTCGTGACAGTCTTCGGCGAACGATCGCAGAGATAGAACCAGATGAATCAAACGAAGAGGAAGAGGAGGAAGAGGAACAAGAAGAGAGCGAAAACACGGTGCCGGAGTCTCCCGAGAGGACTCGCTTCGAAACATTCGAAAAGAACAGCTTCCGCTCACCAAAGTTCTGGTTGCGATGGAGCGGCAGCCCTACAGACTCCAGCCACAATGCCTCCAAGGCACCCGCACATAACGAGACAGATTTGGGGTACATTGTCTTCTCTGGCAACGATTGTCGCAAGTTCAAGGGCACCATCAATTGCACAAGTCTGAAGTGGAAGAATGTAGCAATCACTGGTCACAAGCTCGTGGCACGATCATCATCCGACGCACAAGTCACTTGGGGAAAAGCTGGAGTGTTGGTTTAGAAGGCATATTCTGAACCATAGCTAGCGACTGCGTTATCCACCAAATATCAGCAAACTTATCGCGAAGGTGGTCGCGAAACCGAGTGAGCGAGAAGCGCATCGTAGCCGTACTACCTCCGTTTGCAGCACGCAACATCAGCAACCGCTAATCGTTCCTATGTCGGATCAGTACAGTATTCCCGCAGAGAATTGACCACGGGTTGAGCGCACCAGGCCAATCCATATACGCCAACGATACCCATCGGCCATTACCAACACCTCCGGAGACCTTGGCCCAGCGCCTTCACTCATGTCAGCACAAAAGTTCTTCCCATGTCACGTCATGACTTACTTGTCTCCATTCACCTCAGTAGTACCAGACGTGGTGTAGCAGCTTAATTTGATTTTGGTACCCTTGGGATATTGACCCGGAGCCGAGCAGGTCGTCTTCGGACACGTTCGATAGCGCAGCCCGTCGACGGCGACAGTTGCGTCAACGACGGCGCGCTTGTCCATCTCGGCCGCAGGAGCGGCCAAAGCGACCGATGAGAGAAGAGCGATAACAACGGCTGTGAGCTTCATGATGTGCTGATTTCGATCGTTGGCAGGAGAATATGCGAACAAGATTGGATTGATCGAAGGAAGGACATAGACGACTGCGAACGGCTCTTTATAGCCCAAATTGGGGGGGGGGGGGGGGGGGGGGGGGGGGGGGGGGGGGGGGGGGGGGGGGGGGGGGGGGGGGGGGGGGGCTG